CATGGTGGTGATGACGTGGCGCGACGGCGGCGATCACGACCGTGATGATGATGACGGGGCACAATGACGACGATCATGATGATGACGTGGCACGGCGGCGACGATCTCAACGATGATGTTGATGATGGCCAGGTGACGACGTCGAAGCAGGGTGGGTCGGGCGGGTTCGAACCGCTTCGATACCAGTGTAACGAACGTGAGGCTGAGGGTGAGCCGAGGGAGAGGAGAGAGAGGGAGAGAGTGAGAGCACACACACACACTCACTCACTCGACTTGACGGACTCGGACTGAGGGTCGGACGCAGACACAGTGGTAAGGCACAAAGTCGAAGTCTTGGATTCCGAATGCCGAAACAGCAAGTCGCACTGAGTACGAGTACAGCAGCAGAGAACTGGTACCAGACTGCCCCCCGTGCCGTACGGGGAGCCGGTATAAGTACCGGTGACACGTACGGTACTAGGGGCATTTCTGCAAAGGTCCCGAGGGCAGAACTGAAAAATGCAGTATTTGAAAGTGGCGCTCGAATTGCAGCATGGCGCCAGTTGTCCAAAATCCTACGGTACCAAAGGAGGGGTTTGAAAAAACGGGTGCCAGTCCGAGAACGGGATGCAGCCAAAACAGCAAAAGATAGACCAAGGATCGAGCCCTGGCGAAGTCCGTAACACTAAATCCAATTTTGAGATCGAAAATGTGAAAACGGCGTTAGGACGAGTCCTAAAGGATTTAGGATTCCCCAGGCAAAATCATCCTAAATTTTTCCAGTAGCCCCCGACCTACTGAAAAATTTAGGATTCCCGCGTTTCACGGACTCGTTGCGTCGCGTGCATGGCACCGTCGACACGGAGTTGCTGGTGCAGAAGCGGTCCGTCAGGCAGTGGTCGGACATCAGAGGTTTTCTGCGGGTCGATGCGGGCAACGGCCACGAACGGTTGGTGGGGATTGGACGGACATTGGCAGGAATGGACGGACATTGGCGACGCGGCTGCGTATACGCATATGAAAACCGGCCGCGGGAGACCTTTTAGGAAGAATCCTAAAAGATGATTTTTAGGATTGCGTGTAACGACGCCGCACGAAATCCTAAAAATCCTTTAGGACTCGTCCTCAAAATTTTAGGATTCTCTTAGGAGTGTCTAACGAGACCCTAACCCTAAGCAAAATGGGAATGCATCTTGGACTAGAACATGGAAATATACACTGCCACTTTTCTTTATTGAGAGAGTGAGAGAGAGAGAGAGAGAGCGGTGCACGGCGGTGGCGATCGTCGTTGGAAAACCACGCTCTGTGTGTGTGTGTGTGTGTGTGTGTGTGTGTGTGTGTGTGTGTGTGTGTGTGTGTGTGTGAGAGGGAGAGAGAGAGAGAACGGGCCGCATGGCACGGTAGGTTGAAAACGTGACACGCTCTACACCAACCGCTGTACTCTCTCTCTCCCTCTCTCTCTCTCTCTCTCTCTCTCTCTCTCTCTCTCTCTCTCTCTCTCTCT